GAAATCTAATAGTAAGGCATGGGTCACGAGGGAAATTTTCGTCGAGTGGTTCAATGAAGTGTTTGGCCCTAGTGTGAAGAATTGCCTCCTGGAAAAGAAATTGGATCTCAAGTGTCTCCTAGTAATGGACAATGCACCTGCTCATCCTCCAAACTTGGATGACCTAATTCTGAAGGAGTTTGGGTTCATCACAGTAAAGTTCTTGCCCCCGAATACCACTCCTCTCCTCCAGCCCATGGACCAGCAGGTCATTGCAAACTTTAAAAAACTCTACACCAAAGCAATGTTTGAAAGGTGCTTGAATGTGACCTCAGACACTCACTTGACCCTACGAGATTTTTGGAAAGAACATTCCAGTATTCTCCATTGCGTAAGCCTTATAGGTAAGGCTTAGGAGGGAGTGACTACCAAGACTTTGAACTCTGCTTGGAGAAAATTATGGCCAGATTGTGTCCACAAGAGGGATTCTGAAGGGTTTGGGGCTGACCCTGATGAGCCTATGTCAGTTGTTAAATCCACTGTGGCACTGGGGATTTCCATGGGGTTGGATGTGAGTTTGGAGGATGTGGAAGAGTTGGTGGAGGACCACAACAAAGAGCTAACCACTGAGGAGCTGCAAGAGCTTCAGCAGGAACAGCAACAGATGGCAGCTCTGAATCTTACTGCAGAGGAGGAGGAAGAGAGATGGAGGAAGGTGCCTTCTTCAGAAATTAAGGAGATTTTTGAAATGTGGGGTAGGATGGAAAGATTTATGGAGAAACATCACCCAGAGAAGGATGTTGCAAGCCATATCGGCAACTTGTACAGTGACAGAGTCTTGGCCCATTTTAGGGAAGTCTTAAAGAGACGCCAGAAACAGAGCTCTCTGAACATTTTTTTTGCGAGACAGGACTCCAGTGACTCTCAAGGTGATCCTAGTGGCATTAAGAAACAGAGAAGAGAAGTAACCCCAGAAAAGCAATTGGTACCCGAGGTGTTGATGGAAGGGGATTCCCCTTCCAAACAGTAATTCATCCAATCAGTCTCATTCTCCAGTCTTCCATACACAAAGAAGAATCGCCAATAAAGGTAAGTGTTATTCTGTTAATGTTTAATTCATCATGTGCCACTGTATTGTTTATGTACTACATCTATATTTCATGTAAAAAAAATTTGTTTTAATACTTCTGGGTGTCAGGAACGGATTAATTGAATTTACTTTATTTCTTATGGGGAAAATTGATTCGTAAATCGTCCATTTTGATAATAGTTCCACTTCCAGGAACGGATTATGGACGATTATTGAGGGACCACTGTATTACCCTGCTCACACTCCAACAGCTCGTCAGGTCCCAAATACCATTCGTCTCCATTCACTCCTATCTAACATGCTCACGCATGCTTGCTGGAAGTCCAAACCCTCGCCCACAACACCACCTTTACCCCCTCCCTCCAACCTTTTCGAGGACGATCCCTACCCCGCCTTCCTTCCCCTACAGATTTAAATGCTCTCCAAGTCATTCTACTTTGATCCATTCTCTCTAAATGACCAAACCACCTCAACAACCCCTCTTCAGCCCTCTGACTAATACTTTTATTAACTCCACACCTTCTCCTAATTTCCACACTCCAAATTTTCTGCATAATATTTACACCACACATTGCCCTTAGACAGGACATCTCCACTGCCTCCAACCGCCTCCTCGCTGAAGCATTTACAACCCAAGCTTCACACCCATATAAGAGTGTTGGTACTATTATACTTTCATACATTCCCTTCTTTGCCTCCATAGATAACATTTTTTGCCTCCACATATACCTCAATTCAACACTCACCTTTTTTCCCTCATCAATTCTATGATTAACCTCATCCTTCATAAATCCATCCGCTGACACGTCAACTCCCAAATATCTGAAAACATTCACTTCTTCCATACTCCTCCTCCCCAATTGGATATCCAATTTTTCTTTATCTAAATCATTTGATACCCTCATCACCTTACTCTTTTCCATGTTCACTTTCAACTTTCTACCTTTACACACTCCCAAATTCGTCCACTAACCTTTGCAATTTTTCTTTAGAATCTCCCATAAGCACAGTATCATCAGCAAAGAGTAACTGTGTCACTTCCCATTTTGTATTTAATTCCCCATAATTTAATCCCACCCCTCTCCCGAACACCCTAGCATTTACTTCTTTTACAACCCCATCTATAAATATATTAAACATGGTGACATTACATATCCCTGTCTAAGACCTACTTTTACCGGGAAGTAATCTCCCTCTCTTCCACACACCCTAAACTGAGCCTCACTATCCTCATAAAAACTCTTTACAGCATTTAGTAACTTACCACCTATTCCATATACTTGCAACATCTGCCACATTGCTCTCCTATCCACTATCATATGCCTTTTCTAAATCCATAAATGCAATAAAAACTTCCCTGCCTATATCTAAATACTGTTCACATTTATGCTTCAATGTAAACACCTGATCTACACATCCCCTACCCACTCTAAAACCTCCTTGCTCATCCGTAATTCTACATTCTGTCTTACCTCTAATTCTTTCAATAATAACCCTACTGTACACTTTTCCTGGCATACTCAGTAAACTTATTCCTCTATAATTTTTGGCAGAGAGCGTGTATAGACCCTTTATATAAAGGGACTATACACGCTCTCTGCCAATCCCTGGGTACCTTCCCCTCTTTCATACATTTATTAAACAAAAATACCAACCACTCCAACTCTATGACCCCCCTGCTTTTAACATTTCTGTCATGAACCCGTCAGTTCCTGCTGCTTTAACCCCTTTCATTATACATGCCTCACGCACCTCCCCCATACTCACATCCTGCTCTTCTTCACTCCTAAAAGATGGTATACCTCCCTGGCCAGTGCATGAAATTACCGCCTCCCTTTCTTTGTCGACATTTTAAAAGTTCCTCAAAATATTCTCGCCATCTACCCAATACCTCCATCTCCCCATCTACTAACTCCACCTACTCTGTTTTTAATTGACAAATCCATTTGTTCCATAGGCTTTCTTAACTTCTTTAACTCACTCCAAAAATTTTTCTTATTTTCATTAAAATTTCTTGACAGTGCCTCTCCCACTCTATCATCCGCTCTCCTTTTGCACTCTCTCACCACTCTCACCTTTCTTTTACTCTCCATATACTCTACTCTTCTTATAACACTTCTGCTTTGTAAATACCTCTCATAAGCTACCTTTTTCTCTTTTATCATACCCTTTACTTCATCATTCCACCAATCACTCCTCTTTCCTCCTGCACCCACCCTCCTATAACCACAAACTTCTGCCCCACATTCTAATACTGCATTTTTAAGACTATTCCAACTCTCTTCAACCCCCCCACTACTCATACTTGCACCAGCCCACCTTCCTGCCAATAGTTGCTTATATTTCACCCGAACTTCTTCCTCCCTTAGTTTATACACGTTCATCTCCCTCTTACTTGTTGTTGCCATTTTCCTCTTATCCCATCTACTTCTTACTCTAACTGTAGCTACAACTAGATAATGATCCAATATATCAGTTGCCCCTCTATAAACATGTACATCCTGGAGCCTACCCATTAACCTTTTATCCACCAATACATAATCTAACAAACTACTTTCATTACGTGCTATATCATACCTTGTATATTTATTTATCTTCATTTTCATAAAAGATGTATTACTTATTACCAAATCTCTTTCTACACATAGTTCAATTAACCCTTTGAGTGTTTTCGTCGTACTAGTACGTTTTACGCGTAGGGGTTTTTGACGTACTAGTACGCATAAATTCTAGCGGCCTCAAATCTAGTGGGAGAAAGCTGGTAGGCCTTCATATGAAAGAATGGGTCTATGTGGTCAGTGTGCACAGTCTAAAAAAAATCCTGCAGCACACAGTGCATAATGAGAAAAAAAAACTTTGACCATTTTTTTGGAATAAATCAGCGACTTTGCAGTGTATTTTCGTATGGTATTTATTGTTGTATTCTAGTTTTCTTGGTCTCATTTTATAGAATGGAAGACATATTACAGAAATTGAGATGATTTTGGCTGGTTTTACAAAGAAAGGTGCCTTGAAATTGAGCTCAAAGTAGCAGAAATGTTCGATTTTTACCAAACTTCAAAAGTAAACAAATCGTGCCAAGCGTGCAATACACGTCAACTGGTGAGTCTAATATTCTTTCACAAGTGCACCAATAATATTTATACCATTTTTTACACTAATGCAGTAGTCTGCATAACAGTAAATCTTATATTTTTTGTGAGAATAAAAATTCAAAATGGAAAGCAAAAGAATATAAGAGGGGCCTTGAGACGTGACTAATGACTAGAGGAAATGTCATTTTAGTGCCAGGAATGTCTTTCTTGTTTATTCTGGACCCTATTCGGAAATTGGCATCTTTTGAAATTTGTGTGAAATTGGCAAAATTGCTAAATTCTGACCACTGTACTGGATAGTTGAATTTCATAAATGGGTGGTTTCTTGCACCCATTCGATAGAAAAAATGGAGTTCTAGCGAAATATTCATGTTTTTTGTCGACTAGTACAGCGAAATTGGCCGAAAATGGGGCTCAAAATGGGCAAAATCACCGATGCGTAAACATCGCCGAGACCGCTAACTTTGCGAGAGCATAATTTCATACGTTTTCTATCAAATTTCAAACTTTTGGTGTCTTTATGATCGGGAAAAGATTCTCTATCTTTTCATAAGAGAAAATAATTTTTTTTAAATTTGGCCGACCCTGAGAACGAGTTTCGGAGAGGGCCTGTTGACCCCCAAAGGGTTAAAGGCTCCCCATTTTCATTTACCCCTGGCACCCCAAATTTACCTACTACTCCCTCCTCAACATTTTTACACACTTTAGCATTAAAATCCTGTAAGCACTCAAACATATTCTGACCTGCCAAGCCTGAAAGATGCATCTTAATAGCACCACAAAAAAAGCAAGACATATAAAATGGTTAAGTGCTATTAAAAACTAAGGACACTAACCTGCCAAGATGTGAGATGATAACTTTAAGAGTAGCAAAGTGTGCAGATGGAAGAGTCAAGAGAGCCTCTTGAATACTTGACACTTGTGATACTGGATCACTTAACTCTGCCAAAGGAAAAAACAAAATATTTTATGAACTATTCCAAAACCTTAAAAATAAGTATGCTTCAATTACATGATATACCTGAAACAAGTAAAACAAGTTACTCTTTTTTTTACATCAACTGTTTCCCCAAAAGAAATGCATATGTCATCACTGATTCTCTAGCTGTTTTTCTCAGATATTCACAAATATCACACTTCAAATGGCCATCTAAACTGTAACACCCTATATAACTCAAGTTCATTTTAAATAACCAGTTTCTCAAAATCCCTTTATGTTACCTTGCTCACACAATAACTACAATAAATCAACCACTTGTCTCCACTCTCCCTCATCAAACATGATGACAGAGTAAATAATTTTTAACACACCTATCATCTCCCATTAAGGCAGAGCAACTTGAAAGAATGTAAACACATTCACCATCATTCACTCAATAGCATTCTTGCCAGAAGTGCACAGACATCACAATTTTATGTAAATATTACAACTTACAAAACACTGTCACTTACTGCAAGCTGCCAGTAGTTTATTGAAGCAATCAATGGTAATAAGGGGAATGGGTAAAAGTCTTAAGTAGAGTTTCAAGACTCCAGCAACCACATTGATGTCCCCTACTGCTTTCTCATTTAAGCTCACCCGGTTGCCATCTGCAATGCATGATAAAATTAAGTTAAAGATATTGACAGAAATGTTAAAAGCAGGGGGGGATATAGTGTTGGAGTGGTTGGTACTTTTGTTTAATAAATGTATGAAAGAGGGGAAGGTACCTAGGGATTGGCGGAGAGCATGTATAGTCCCTTTATATAAAGGGAAGGGGGACAAAAGAGACTGTAAAAATTATAGAGGAATAAGTTTACTGAGTATACAAGGAAAAGTATACGGTAGGGTTATAATTGAAAGAATTAGAGGTAAGACAGAATGTAGGATTGCGGATGAGCAAGGAGGTTTCAGAGTGGGTAGGGGATGTGTAGATCAAGTGTTTACATTGAAGCATATATGTGAACAGTATTTAGATAAAGGTAGGGAAGTTTTTGTTGCATTTATGGATTTAGAAAAGGCATATGATAGAGTGGATAGAGGAGCAATGTGGCAGATGTTGCAAGTATATGGAATAGGTGGTAAGTTACTAAATGCTGTAAAGAGCTTTTATGAGGATAGTGAGGCTCAGGTTAGGGTGTGTAGAAGAGAGGGAGAATACTTCCCGGTAAAAGTAGGTCTTAGACAGGGATGTGTAATGTCACCATGGTTGTTTAATATATTTATAGAGGGGGTTGTAAAAGAAGTAAATGCTAGGGTTTTTGGGGAGAGGGGTTGGATTGAATTATGGGGAATCAAATTAAAAAATGGGAATTGACACGTTTTTTTCTAATGTACTGTGTTATGGGAGATTCAAAGAAAAATTGCAAGGTTGTGGATGATTTTGAGAATGGTGTAAAAGGTAGAAAGTTAAAATGAACATGAAAAGGAAAGGTATGGGGGTAAAAAAGTTTTAGATAAAGAAAAATTGGATATCAAATTGGGGGGAGGAGTAGGAAAGAAGTAAATGTTTTCTATATTTGGGGGGTTGACTGTCGGCGGTGGATTTATAAAGGAGAGGTTAATCATAAAATTTGATGGGGAAAAAAAAGGTGGGGGGTGCGTTGAGTTATCTATGGAGGCAAGAAGGGAATGTATGAAAGTTAGTGTATAACACTCTTATATGGATGTGAAGTTGGGTGGAAAATCACAGCGAGGAGGGGTTGGAGGCAGTGGAGATGTCCTGTTGGGGGCAATGTGTGGTGTAAATTTTATGCAAAAAATTCGGAGTGGGGAAAATTAGGAGAGGTGTGGAGTTAAAAAAAGCTTTTGTCAGGGGCAGAAGAGGGATTGTTGAGGTGGTTGGTCATTTAGAGAAAATGGATCAAAGTAGAATGACAGGGAAAGCATTAAATTATGGGGGAAGGAAGAGGGTTAGGGGTGTCCTCGAAAGGGTTGGAAAGGGGGGTTTTAAAAGGAGGTTTTGTGGGCGAGGGGCTTGGATTCAGCAAGATGCATGAGTGTGTTGTAGGAGTGAATGGAGATGATGATACTTGGGACTGATACTTTTGGAGTGTGAGCAGGGAAATTTTTGGGTAGGGATTCGGGAAAACCGGGTTTTTTTTTCTTTAAGTCGGATTTGGCCCTGGAAGTGGGAAGTACAGTCCCCTGCACTTTAAAAAGGGGGTTTTGGGATTTTGGGCATTTTTTTTGGAGGGACATGTTGTGTATCTTTATACGTATTGCTCCTAAATGTTGTTTTGAGCAACCTCGCAAAAGCGTGATAAGTGTGAGTGTGGGAAAGTGTTTAATGATGATGAAAATATTTTCTTTTTTGGGGATTTTCTCTCTTTTTTGGGTCACCCCCCTCGGGGGGCGGCCGACTTGTTGAAAAAAAAAAAAAAGACATTGCTCCCTCAAAAAATTTTTTAAAACAATCAGAAAAAAACCGGGGGCTCCTATGACTTTTTTCAATCTTCTAAGATAGCAACGTAGTGTAGATAAATGACACTTATTGCCTCTCTTCTAAAAAAATTGGTTTTTCCCCGGTGCATTTTGGCTTTTTTCTTTTTTTCTTTCTATATACTACATCATTTTTTTATTTTTTTTTTTTATTTCCCCGGCCGATTCCCCCCAAGGCAGGGTGGCCGAAAAAGAAAAACTTTCACCATATTCACTCCATCACTGGCTTGCAGAAGGGGTTTACACTACGTTTTTAAAAATGCAAAATTTAACACCCTCCTTCAGAGTGCAGGGACTGTCTTCCCTCTCCCGGATCAGTCCCGGGCCCGCCGGTTTCCCCGAAACCTTCATAAATGTTCTTTTCTCACACTCCAACAGCACGTCAAAATATTAAAAAAACCCTTTGTCTCTTCACTCCCATCAAACCGCTAAGCTGTGCTGGAAGTCCAAGCCCCCCCGCAACAAAAACCTCCTTTACCCCCTCCCTCCCCTTCCCAGGGCCCCCCCTACCCCCTTCCTTTCCCCTCGAGATACACTCTTGAAGTCATTCGTTTCGCTCCATTCTCTTACATGTCCCAACCACCTCAACAACCCTTCCTCAGCCCCTGGACAACAGTTTTGGAATCCCGCACCTCTCCTAATTCCAAACTACGAATTTTCTGCATTATTTCACACCACCATGCCCCCAGACATGACCCTCTCCCTGCCTCCCGCCTTCTCCTCGCTGCAAAAATCACCCGCTTTACACCCTATAAGAGCGTTGGTAAAAACTATACTTCTACATTCCCCTTTTTTGCCTCCCAAAGGCAAAGTTCTTTGTCTCCACAAATCCTAAGTGCACCACTCACTTTTTTCCCCCATCAAATTTTTGATTCCCTCATCTTTTTAGACCTCCGCTGACACGTCCATCCCAAATATCTGAATGTTCCCCCTCCCCACTCTCTCCCCCCAATCTGAATTCAATCTTTCATACCAATCTTTTTTTATCCTATAACCTTACTCTTTCCTGTATTCACTTTAATTTTTTTTCTTTTGCACACCTACCCAAAATTCATCCACCAATCTCTGCAACTTCTCTTCAGAATCTCCCAAGCACAGTGTCATCAGCAAAGAGCAGCTGTGACAACTCCCACTTTGTTGTGTGATTCTTTATCTTTTAACTCCACGCCTCTTGCCAAGACCCTCGCATTTACTTCTCTTACAACCCCATCTATAAATATATTAAACAACCACGGTGACATCACACATCCTTGTCTAAGTCCTACTTTTTACTGGGAAAAAATTTCCCTCTTTCCTACATACTCTAACTTGAGCCTCACTATCCTCGTAAAAACTCTTCACTGCTTTCAGTAACCTACCTCCTACACCATACACTTGCAACATCTGCCACATTGCCCCCCTATCCACCCTGTCATACGCCTTTTCCAAATCCATAAATGCCACAAAGACCTCTTTAGCTTATCTAAATACTGTTCACTTATATGTTTCACTGTAAACACCTGGTCCACACACCCCCTAACCTTTCCTAAAGCCTCCTTGTTCATCTGCTATCCTATTCTCCGTCTTACTCTTAATTCTTTCAATTATAACTCTACCATACACTTTACCAGGTACACTCAACAGACTTATCCCCCTATAATTTTTGCACTCTCTTTTATCCCCTTTGCCTTTATACAAAGGAACTATGCATGCTCTCTGCCAATCCCTAGGTACCTTACCCTCTTCCATACATTTATTAAACAATTGCACCAACCACTCCAAAACTATATCCCACCTGCTTTTAACATTTCTATCTTTATCCCATCAATCCCGGCTGCCTTACCCCCTTTCATTTTACCTACTGCCTCACGAACTTCCCCACACTCACAACTGGCTCTTCCTCACTCCTACAAGATGTTATTCCTCCTTGCCCTATACACGAAATCACAGCTTCCCTATCTTCATCAACATTTTAACAATTCCTCAAAATATTCCTTCCATCTTCCCAATACCTCTAACTCTCCATTTAATAACTCTCCTCTCCTATTTTTAACTGACAAATCCATTTGTTCTCTAGGCTTCTTAACTTGTTATCTCACTCCAAAACTTTTTCTTATTTTCAACAAAATTTGTTGATAAACATCTCACCCACTCTCTCTTTGCTCTCTTTTTACATTGCTTCACCACTCTCTTAACCTCTCTCTTTTCTCCATATACTCTTCCCTCCTTGCATCACTTCTACTTGTAAAAACTTCTCATATGCTAACTTTTCTCCCTTACTACTCTCTTTACATCATCATTCCACCCAATCGCTCCTCTTCCCTCCTGCACCCACTTTCCTGTAACCACAAACTTCTGCTGAACACTCTAACACTACATTTTAAACCTACCCCATACTCTTCGACCCCATTGCCTATGCTCTCATTAGCCCATCTATCCTCCAATAGCTGTTTATATCTTACCCTAACTGCCTCCTCTTTTAGTTTATAAACCTTCACCTCTCTCTTCCCTGATGCTTCTATTCTCCTTGTATCCCATCTACCTTTTACTCTCAGTGTAGCTACAACTAGAAAGTGATCTGATATATCTGTGGCCCCTCTATAAACATGTACATCCTGAAGTCTACTCAACAGTCTTTTATCTACCAATACATAATCCAACAAACTACTGTCATTTCGCCCTACATCATATCGTGTATACTTATTTATCCTCTTTTTCTTAAAATATGTATTACCTATAACTAAACCCCTTTCTATACAAAGTTCAATCAAAGGCTCCCATTATCATTTACACCTGGCACCCCAAACTTACCTACCACACCCTCTCTAAAAGTTTCTCCTACTTTAGCATTCAAGTCCCCTACCACAATTACTCTCTCACTTGGTTCAAAGGCTCCTATACATTCACTTAACATCTCCCAAAATCTCTCTCTCTCCTCTGCATTCCTCTCTTCTCCAGGTGCATACACGCTTATTATGACCCACTTCTCGCATCCAACCTTTACTTTAATCCACATAATTCTTGAATTTACACATTCATATTCTCTTTTCTCCTTCCATAACTGTCATTTAAACATTACTGCTACCCCTTCCTTTGCTCTAACTCTCTCAGATACTCCAGATTTAATCCCATTTATTTCCCCCCACTGAAACTCTCCTACCCCCTTCAGCTTTGTTTCGCTTAGGGCCAGGACATCCAACTTCTTTTCATTCATAACATCAGCAATCATCTGTTTCTTGTCATCCGCACTACATCCACGCACATTTAAGCAACCCAGTTTTATAAAGTTTTTCTTCTTCTCTTTTTTAGTAATTGTATACAGGAGAAGGGGTTACTAGCCCATTGCTCCCGGCATTTTAGTCGCCTCATACGACACGCATGGCTTACGGAGGAAAGATTCTTTTCCACTTCCCATGGACAATAGAAGAAATAAAAAAGAACAAGAGCTATTTAGAAAAAGGAGAAAAACCTAGATGTATGTATATATATATATGCATGTGCGTGTCTGTGAAGTGTGACCAAAGTGTTAGTAGGAGTAGCAAGATATCCCTGTTATCTTAGCGTGTTTATGAGACAGAAAAAGAAACCAGCAATCCTACCATCATGCAAAACAATTACAGGTTTTTGTTTCACAGTCATCTGGCAGGACGGTAGTACTTCCCTGGGTGGTTGCTGTCTACCAACCTACTACCTTACATCAATGATCATTAATGAATCAAACCAATTCTTTCTGTCAATGACAGCATCTTCTCAGGCTCCGAGTCCATTGCTCTGAGCCAACCAGTTAATTAAGAATAACCTTACAAAGATAGCAGTCAAAAAAATTCACAATTATTCAGACTTATGCATGCACAGGTGTCAAATTTTAGAAAATCTAAATTGAAAAAAAAAATAAAATAAATGGATATCTTCCTAGTGGTCAAAATAAATCTAAATTACAGAGGTTTTCCTAAACAGCTTATTAGGTTTAGACCCAAAAATCATAGAAATTAGCAGGGTTATGAAAGAAATTATGCAGAGGGTAGATGGGCTGTTGGGGTCGTTTGGACATACAGAAAGGACAGATCTGAATAGGATAACCAAGGTGTATGAATCCCAGGTGAGGGGAGGAGCAGTGGATATCCCAGGAAGGGGTTGGAGGGTGTGAATAAGATTTTCAGTGATTGGGACACAAGCATTCAGTAGGCATACATTAGAATATAACATCTGGGGGGGGGAGAGACATAACGGGTGCAGTAGAGTGTAAACAAAGTAATATTCATGAAGGGATAGATTTAGGGGAACTGGTTAGCCAGGCTTGAGTCCTGGAGGTGAGAAGTACAGTGCCTATACTCTAAAGGTGAGGTGGGAATGTCACAGCTCAGAGAGGTATTTGAATTATGATGTTTGCACACCTTTATCAAAATGCTATTGAATGAATGATGGTGAATGCTTCCTCTTTTCTGGGGGGATCACCCCTACCTTGGTGCAGGACAGCTGATAAGAGTAAAAAAAATACATATTTTACCTCTTTCAAAAGCCAACTTTAGAGCTTCTATTTGATCTTGTGAGCCAGGAATCCTATATATGCCTTCTGATGCCAGGCCCCGTGCCTCCACCTCTGCTATACACTCTGTTACAACAGATGGAACATCATCTCCCGTGCCTCCTCGGCTCACCAGGCTCGTTGTAAGATCAACACCAAATATACCTGCAGATAAAATATTTGCCTGGGATAAATATTTATAAACTTAAACAATTAAATACCAGCTAAATTTTTCTTCTATAATTGCTGTAAATTGAAATGCTTGTAGAATTAATCGAACATCCTTTACTATCTTTTTTTATTATTTTGTTTTTTATTAGCACACTGGCCGATTCCCACCAAGGCAGGGTGGCCCGAAAAAGAAAAACTTTCACCATCATTCACTCCATCACTGTCTTGCCAGAAGGGTGCTTTACACTACAGTTCTTAAATTGCAACATTAACACCACTCCTTCAGAGTGCAGGCACTGTATTTCCCATCTCAAGTCCGGCCTGCCAGTTTCCCTGAATCCCTTCATAAATGTTACTTTGCTCACACTCCAACAGCACATCAAGTATTAAAAACCATTTGTCTCCATTCACTCCTATCAAACACGCTCACGCATGCCCGCTGGAAGTCCAAGCCCCTCGCACAAAAACCTCCTTTACCCCCTCCCTCCAACCTTTCCTAGGCCGACCCCTACCCCGCCTTCCTTCCACTATAGACTGATACACTCTTGAAGTCATTCTGTTTCGCTTCATTCTCTCTACATGTCCGAACCACCTCAACAACCCTTCCTCAGCCCTCTGGACAACAGTTTTGGTAATCCCGCACCTCCTCCTAACTTCCAAACTACGAATTCTCTGCATTATATTCACACCACACATTGCCCTCAGACATGACATCTCCACTGCCTCCAGCCTTCTCCTCGCTGCAACATTCATCACCCATGCTTCACACCCATATAAGAGCGTTGGTAACACTATACTCTCATACATTCCCCTATTTGCCTCCAAGGACAAAGTTCTTTGTCTCCACAGACTCCTAAGTGCACCACTCACTCTTTTCCCCTCATCAATTCTATGATTCACCTCATCTTTCATAGACCCATCCGCTGACACGTCCACTCCCAAATTATCATATTTTATATTCATTTCCAATACAGTAGCTGTATTGGAAATGAATATAAAATATGATAATTTGGGGAAATTTTAATAATGATTATAACATTAATCAAACACCTTCTATTATAAACATTATTTTTTATTCCTCTCCAATACAAAGAGGAGAGTTTGATGATCGAAAATCCTGATGCTCAAGCAATATTCTTTTGCTACTCTAGGATCCAAAAGTGTGATTTTATTAGCACAAATAACAGAACATATATTTGTATGTACCACATGTATTTGCATCTACAACTAGTGCATGTCACAAATACTGAACTTCTAACTGGATCAAGATTGTCTATAAAAAATAAAAATTGTAACTGGTCCTGCACTCAAGCATTGGTTCGTTATGCACTCATGCACAAACATTGGTCCCTCCTGCACTCAAACAAGACTTGGTCCCTTTTACATTCACAAACTGGCACAAGCAATGGTACCTCACATACTCATACACAAGCAATGGTGCCTCTCACATACATGCAGCCACAAACACTGGTTCCACCTGCACTCACACAAATACCACAATTATTGGCTCTTTTTGCTTTCTCACACAAGCATCACAAACACTGGTCTCTTCACTACTCACATACAGGCACCATAACCACTGCTTCTGCCTGAACTGTTGCACAAATGCCACAAGCAGGAAATAGTTGAAGTTATTGTAGTTATATAATGAAAACTTATTACTGCCTTAGATAATAAGCTACAGTTCTGAAGCTATTAGCAGGAAAAGTAAATAACTTTAATGGAATGTCATAAAAATAAGAATGATAATTAAGAATATCCTTGGGAGATAAAACATGTTTGTCTTCAGTAGAGTAATATGTTGCATCATTTTTGTCTGGTGAATAATGCACTATTAAGAGTTAATAGCTGCTTGGTTATTATTGGTTGCTGCTATGATGTCTTATTTTTTAGGTTTTAATATGTTTTAATACTGTAAACAAGTATAAGAAATATCTTTACCAAGAACAGCTAAAATTAACCTAAAAATTGTTTTGTATTCTTTCTGACTTTAACTCTGTATAATTTCCAACTTTGACTCAAAGAACTTGTATGAATATCTTTACTATTTTGAGAGAAATGTTAAAAAAATGTGAGTATGCACAATGACTCACTCTGTAGATCCTTGAGGTCTGGGCAGCAGTCATTAGGAACCTTGCAGCTGCATTGCTTATGTGCCCTGACACCACAGTCCTGACACTTAACACCTTGGGACACGATACCCCAGAGGAAATGACCGCAAAACCCACACCTAGAATATACACTATGGTAAGAGATCAAATGTACACAATTACCTATAAGCTTTTCTAATTACACATACTTCCACCAGTACTTTCTTGAGGATGGGTACCAATATTTATGGATACATATATCATGAGGCTTTTGCAAAACCCCCATTGACTTAGAAGTATGTTAAATGAGGAGCTGAGAATAAAACTGACAAACTTGTCAAGAAGAAGACTGCTGCCTACAAATATATGCAACATTTTACAGCAATATACCAGTAACCAACCACACAATTTTGATCAAACTAGTCTTATCTAATGTCAAACATTTTTGCATCGAAAACACAATTTTTACTAACTATGCATGTTTTACTCACTGGTGGGTTTGTGCATTTTCTTCTCAGTGCCTCAAGTATTCTTTATCCCAAAATATCAATTTTCTTCATTTACACTACCAACTTCACTGACTTTGTAAAGATATATGCGTGTCATCTATTGTTTGAATTAAAAAAAAATTACGTTATAATTTTTTTTTACACATCAGCTGTCTCCCATCAAGGCAGTGTGGATTTTTACAGAATTCTATTCATAATCTCTACACTGGATGTATTAGACAAATAATTACTACATAGAAATACTGTACAAAAAAAAAAAAATCATTTTATTACCACACCAAAATAAAAGGAAAACAAAGTCTAGAGATTGCAATAATATAGGTTCCAGAAAAAAAAATATAAATTACATAACTACAGAAAAAACGAAGGCACCAGAAATGCCCTAGTAAGAAGATAAGAGATGAGAGAGACATGAGGAATACTTTTTAACTACTAGTATCTATCAACATTCCTAAAGATACAATAAAATAAGGCAATTTTTTTGGAACCATGAATAAAATAAGAACAAGTCACAACTAAAAGTTATGAAACAGTGCAAAAGAGAACACAGGAAGTATTTCTTCACAGCCTGTGGTGGACAGCTGGAACGATATACAAGTGGGTGCAGCAGGCACTTCAACCATTTGAAATAAAAAAATCAATATAAAGAAGAGAGAACAGCACTAGCATAGCTCCGGTCCTGCTTTAATTATAAATGTAAAACAGGAATAAGTACTGTAATTCCACAAATTACCAGTGGAGTCCTGTGAATGTACTGACGACGAATCGATGGGGACGCTGTGTAGTGGTGTCCAGAGAGTCAGCAGCATCCACTGTTACTTTCTCCACTGGAGTTGTCACATAAAATATTGAAGTATCTAACTTTTCATTTTGCTGGTTATTCTGCAAGTGATTGATTTATAAACAACATATGTTATCATTATTATTATTTTATACATGGGACAGTGTTAATGCATAAGGACATACACAGTATACACAGATTTATAATGAAAGATGGCTGGAGGCAGTGGAGATGTCATGTCTGAGGGCAATGTGTGGTGTGAATATAATGTAGAGAATTTGTAGTTTAGAAATTAGAAGGAGGTGTGGGATTACCAAAACTATTATCCAGAGGGTTGAGTAGAGGCTGTTGAGGTGGTTCAGACATGTAGAGAGGAACAAAATAGAATGACTTTGAGAGTGTATAAATCTGTAATGGAGGGAAGGTGGGGTAGGGGTCAGCCTAGTTAAGGTTGGAGGGAGGAGGTAAAGGAGGTTTCATGTGTGAGGGGCTTTGACCTCCAGCAAGCATGCGTGAGGGGTTTTTAAATAGGAGCAAATGGAAAAAAAATTTGGTTTTTAGGACTTAAAGTGATTTTGGGAAAGTGTGAGAAAGGTAACATTTTATGGGATTCGGGGAAAGGGAAGGGGGGAACAAGTCCTGGAGAAGGGGAAACCCACAGTGTTGCACTCAAAAAGGTGGGGGTGTTGATGTTGCGTTTATAACTGTAGTGAAAGTGCCCCCTCGGGCCCAAAATTTTTTTGGAGTGAATGATGTTGAAGTCTTTCTTTTTCACCCACCCGCCTTGGTGGGGAGAAGGCCGATTTTTTAAATTTAAAAATAAAAAATAATAAAAATTTAAAAAACCTGATATCTAGGGGGTTTTTTTCTTTTTTTACTTTTCTACTAAAATTTGGAAAAAAAAACCACAAAAATAAAAACCACCAGTATAAAAAAAATGCTTAAAAAATTCACAAACAGGCAAAAATTACTTACAATCATAAGGCGATTAGATGGAAAAAAGTTGTGTTAAGGGGGGGATTTTAATTTTAAACAAAAATTGTTTGGGAAACAATTTGAAAAGGAAATCTTGATGGGGGAAATTTCTTGATCCAGCTCAGGATTGCTTTTTAAACAGTTTGTGAAAAGAACCAATTTGAGGAAACAATCTACTTGATTTGGGTTCTTGCCAACAAAGATCACTAATTAATAACTTGGGGTAAATATGAGTTTGGGTAATTTGATCACAAATCACTTAGTTTCAATTACACCTACCATCCGACTTACGACCGAGGTTCGGTTCCGAAAAAAAGGGGGTCGTAAGTGGGAAATGGTTTTTAAGTCGAATTTTAACGGGAAATTATCAACAAAACTTTTTGTAATGCTTTAAATTTTTTTGTTTTTATTTTGGAAAAAATTTTATGTTTCTTTTTCTTTTTATGCTGTTAGTACTGTATTTTTTAAAATGTAAAGGTTTTTGGAAAAAAACACTGGGGTTTTAACACAAATAGTTGTTTTTCCCAAAAAAATTTTTATAAAAAACACGGTCCCTAAGGCGAGTGGTCGTAAGTCAAGCAGGGCGTAAGTCGGATGGAAGGTGTTTTTATGGAATTTCTCATTTAAAATGCAAAACAAGTTCTTTTCCCCAAAACTTTCGCTTGGCTGATTTCATGGGGCTTAAAAATTTTTCTGGGTGGGCTAAATTGGGATGATCTGATATGGGTCGGTAGCTGGTGGGTTTGTTGCCAATATGGGCGTTTTCAGAGTACATTCTAGCTGCTCAGTCAACCTTTTTTTCCGTTGTAGGGAAATTTGATCTGACCAAAAAAAGATCCCAAATGGATGAACAATAGATTAAAACTTTCACTGGTCAAAAGAGAGGCATTTTTAGACATATCAAAAGAGGGGATGGGCAGTTAAGAAATCAATGCATTCAATTAGAGAGAGAAATAAAGAAAGGAATAAGAAAAGCAAAAAGGGATTACGAGGCTAAGGTCGCAAGGGATTCGAAGACTAACCCAAAAGGGTTCTTTCAGGTATACAGAAGTAATATTAGAGACAAGATTGGCCCACTTAAGAGTAGCTCAGGTCAGATCACTGACAGTGATAGGAGTATGTGTGAAATTTTAAATTCTTACTTCCTCTCAGGTTTTACTCAGGAAGATGCTAGCAAAATTCCAGAAATAATAAATTATGTAGAACAGGACAGTAATAAACTATGTACGATTGCAGTAACTAGTGACATAGTCCTTAAACAAATAGAGAAATTAAAACCTAACAAATTCCCAGGCCCTGATGAATCATTTGCAAGGGTTTTAAAGGAATGTAAAGAGGAACTTAGCATACCTTTGGCTAATCTTTTCAACATATCACTACAAACTGGCATAGTGCCTGATAAGTGGAAAATGGCAAATTTTTTTTTTTTTTTTTTATTATCACACCGGCCGATTCCCACCAAGGCAGGGTGGCCCGAAAAAGAAAAACTTTCACCATCATTCACTCCATCACTGTCTTGCCAGAAGGGTGCTTTACACTACAGTTTTTAAACTGCAACATTAACACCCCTCCTTCAGAGTGCAGGCACTGTACTTCCCATCTCCAGGACTCAAGTCCGGCCTGCCGGTTTCCCTGAATCCCTTCATAAATGTTACTTTGCTCACACTCCAACAGCACGTCAAGTATTAAAAACCATTTGTCTCCATTCACTCCTATCAAACACGCTCACGCATGCCTGCTGGAAGTCCAAGCCCCTCGCACACAAAACCTCCTTTACCCCTCCCTCCAACCCTTCCTAGGCCGACCCTACCCCGCCTTCCTTCCACTACAGACTGATACACTCTTGAAGTCATTCTGTTTCGCTCCATTCTCTCTACATGTCCGAACCACCTCAACAACCCTTCCTCAGCCCTCTGGACAACAGTTTTGGTAATCCCGCACCTCCTCCTAACTTCCAAACTACGAATTCTCTGCATTATATTCACACCACACATTGCCCTCAGACATGACATCTCCACTGCCTCCAGCCTTCTCCTCGCTGCAACATTCATCACCACGCTTCACACCCATATAAGGCGTTGGTAAAACTATACTCTCATACACCCCCCTTTTTGCCTCCAAGGACAAAGTTCTTTGTTCCCCAGACTCCAAGTGCACCACTCCCTTTTTTTTCCCTCATAAATTTCTATGTTTCCCCTCCTTTCATAACCCATCCGCTGACAGTCCACTCCCCAAATATCTGAATACTTTTCACCTCCTCCAACTCTCTCCCTCCAATCTGATTTAAATCTTTCATCACCTAATCTTTTTGTTATCCCTCATAACCTTTACTTTTCCCTGTATTCACCTTTAATTTTCTTCTTTTGAAACCCCCTCCCAAATTCATCCACCAATCTCTGCAATTCTCTTCAAATCTCCCAAGAGCACGTGTCATGGGCAAAGAGCGCTGTGACAACTCCCACTTTGTGTGTGATTCTTATTTTTAAAATCCGCCTTTCCCAAAGACCCTCGCATTTACTTCTCTTAAAACCCCTCTAAAAATATTTAAAAAACCCGGTGACATCAACATCCTTTTTTCTAAGGCCTACTTTTACGGGAAAAAATTTCCCTTTTTTCCTACATACTTAATTGGCCTCACTATCCTGAAAAACTTTTCCGCTTTCATAACCTCCCCCCTAAAACCTACACTTCAACATCTGCCCATGCCCCCCTATCCCCCCGTCATAAAACCTTTTCCCAAAACCATAAAAGCCACAAAGACCTCTTTAGCCTTATTAAATACTGTTCACTTTTATGTTTCAGTAAACACCCGTCCCCCACACCCCCACCTTTCCTAAAGCCTCCTTTTTTATTGCTTCCTATTTTCCGTCTTACTCTTTTTCTTTCAATTAAAACTCACCCTACCTTCCAGGTACACTCAACAGACTTTCCCCCCATAATTTTTTCACTCTCTTTTTCCCCTTTGCCTTTATACAAAGGGAAATATGCTGCTTCTGCCCATCCCAGGTACCTTACCCTCTTCCATACATTTATTAAATAATTCACCAAAACCACTCCAAAACATATCCCCACCTGCTTTTAACATTTTTTTTTTTATCTTATCCCATCAAACCCGGGTCCTTCCCCCTTTCATTTTACCCATGCCTCACGAACTTCCCCCCCACCACAAAGGCTCTTTTCCCACTCCTACAAGAGTTATTCCCCTTCCCCATACACGAAAACCAGCTTCCCCCATCTTCATCAACATTAACAATTCCTCAAAAAAATTTCCCCCCCTTCCAAAAACCTCTACCCCCTTTAATAAATCTCCTCTCCCCATTTTTAACTGACAAACCTTTGTTTCTAGGCTTTCTTAAATTTTTAATCTCACTCCAAACTTTTTCTTATTTTCAACAAAATTTGTTGATAACATCTCACCCACTCTCTCATTTGCTCTCTTTTTACATTGCTTCACCACTCTCTTAACTTCTCTCTTTTTCTCCATATACTCTTCCCTCCTTGCATCACTTCTACTTTGTAAAAACTTCTCATATGCTAACTTTTTCTCCCTTACTACTCTCTTTACATCATCATTCCACCAATCGCTCCTCTTCCCTCCTGCACCCACTTTCCTGTAACCACAAACTTCTGCTGAACACTCTAACACTACATTTTTAAACCTACCCCATACCTCTTCGACCCCATTGCCTATGCTCTCATTAGCCCATCTATCCTCCAATAGCTGTTTATATCTTACCCTAACTGCCTCCTCTTTTAGTTTATAAACCTTCACCTCTCTCTTCCCTGATGCTTCTATTCTCCTTGTATCCCATCTACCTTTTACTCTCAGTGTAGCTACAACTAGAAAGTGATCTGATATATCTGTGGCCCCTCTATAAACATGTACATCCTGAAGTCTACTCAACAGTCTTTTATCTACCAATACATAATCCAACAAACTACTGTCATTTCGCCCTACATCATATCGTGTATACTTATTTATCCTCTTTTTCTTAAAATATGTATTACCTATAACTAAACCCCTTTCTATACAAAGTTCAATCAAAGGGCTCCCATTATCATTTACACCTGGCACCCCAAAACTTACCTACCACACCCTCTCTAAAAGTTTCTCCTACTTTAGCAT